AAAATATTACAAAAAAAAAAAATCCCCAGGGCCTAACATAGACCTAGAAATCAGAATCTTTGAGGACAGTCTGAACAAAGCTTGTAAACAAAGCTCCCAAGAGATCCTAAAGAGCTTATTTTGTAGACTACTGTTTTAGAACATTACAGATAGGAAACTACCATTGCTTGCCATGAATTTTTACTATATATATATTTTTTTCCTTTGTGGTAAGAGGAATTGGACATAAGGCCTTCTATATGCTAAGTGTATATTTTACTGTATTAGCTGTACCCCTAAAAATGACCTGAAAAGGACTTTATATAAACCATCCTTGAGGGGCTGGGAAGGTGGCTCGGTGGTAGAGTGCTTGCCTTGCATGTATGAGGCCCTGGGTTCGATTCCTCAGCACCACATAAGCAAAAAGAAAAAAGCCAGAAGTGGTGCTTTGGCTCAAGTGGTAGAGCGCTAGCCTTGAGCAAAAAGAAGCAGTACTCAGGACCTAAGTTGAAGCCCAGGACTGACAAAAAAAAAAAAAAAATCCTCATTATCTTTCCTATTTTTATGTTGAGCTAATACTTTCTGGTCAAAATGCTTGCTGGGTGTTCAAAGCCAGCTCTGGCAGGAAAGCCTGTAAAACTCTTATCTTCAATTAACCATCAGAAAACCAGAAGTGGGGGGGCTGGGAAGGTAGCTCAGCGGTAGAGTACATGCCTTGCATGCGCATGAGGCCCTGGGTTCGATTCCTCAGCACCACATAAACAGAAAAAGCCGGAAGTAGCGCTGTGGCTCCAGTGGTAGAGCGCTAGCCTTGAGCTGAAGAGCTGAGGGACAGCGCCCAGGCCCAGAGTTCAGCCCCCATGACCGGCAAAAAAAAGAAAAGAAAAGAAAAAAGAAAACCAGAAGTGGAGCTGTGGCTCAAAATAATAGAGTGTTAGTCTTGAGCAAAAGAGCTCAGGGACAGTACCTAGGCCCTGAGTTCAAGCCCCATGACTACAAAAAAATAAAAAGAAAAAAGAAAAAAACTTGAGAACTAGCTGGGTGGCCCGTACTTATAATCCTAGCTACTCAAGGGGCTGAGATCCCAAGGATTGAGGTTCAAGGCCAGAAAAGACAGAAGAGTCCATAAAACTCCATCTCTAATATAATCACCAGGAAGCAGCGCTGTGGCTCAAGCGGTAGAGCACTCGCAATGAGCTGAAGAGCACAGGGACAGCACCCAGGCCCAGAGTTCAAGCTCCAGGATCGACAAAAGAAAAAAAAAAAAAAAAGAGCAAATAAGATAATCACCAACAAGGGCTGGGAACGTGGCTCAGTGGTAGAGTACTTGTCTTGCATGCCCTGGATTCGATTCCTCAGCACCACATAAGCAAAAAGAAAAAAGCCGCAAGTGGTGCTGTGGCTCAAGCGCTAGCCTTGAGCTGAAGAGCTGAGGGACAGCGCCCAGGACCAGAGTTCAGGCCCCACGACCAGTCCCCCACCCCCCCAAAAAAAGATAATCACCAACAAGAAGGGTAGGAGACATGGTTCAAGTGGTAGACTGCCATCCCTGTAAGCAAGCTGAGTCAGTAGGAAGTCCAGAGTTGAATGCCATAGCTGAGTCTCTCACACCTGAAATCTTAGCTACTCAAGAGGCTAGGTGCTGAAAGCCAGCCTGCAAAGTTCAAGAGACTCGATCTCCAATCAACCAGCAAAATCCTGGACTGGAGCACCTACTGTAAGTGGAAAAAGCCAAACAAAGCTATTTGGCCCTCAGTTTAAGCCCCAAATCAGTTCAAACAACACAATGCCACAAAAATAATACTTGAGAACTAAAAACATCTTTCCTAACAAATTATTTCCTGTGTACTTAGGAAATAATGTTCTCTTTTCCTAAGTTATTGTCCTTAACTTACTAACATTTAAACAGCTAGTTAAGTTGTAGAGTGGGCCTGCAATTACTGAAGTTCTGTGTAGTTTCAAAAATTTTTTCTTGTAGCACAAGATGCCCGAACTAACATCCTCCTGCCTTCCCCTCCCAAGCCCTGGGATTACTGGGTTGATATTTTGTTGTTGTTTTTTGGGGGGGTCCACTCGTGGTCCTGAACTCTGGGCCTGGGCGCTGTCCCTCAGCTCTTCACCTCAAGGCTAGCGCTCTACCACTTGAGCCACAGCGCCACTTCCGGCTTTTTTTTTCTGCATATGTGGTGCTGAGGAATCGAACCCAGTGCCTCATGCATGCAAGGCAAGCACTCCACTACTGAGCCACCTTCCCAGCCCGATATTTTGTTTTTCTGAGACAGTCTGCCTGTGTAGCCCAAAGTAGGCACCTCTCTAGGTTATTGCCTCTATTTCCTGAATGCTGGAATTCCAGGCACGTACCACTAGGCCCACTGTTGTACTTTTACTTTTTGTCAGTTGTGAGGCTTGAACTCAGAGCCTGAGTATTGTCCTGGAGTCTCTTCGTGCTAAAGGCTAGCACTCTACCACTTTGAGCCACAACACCACTTCATTTTGTGGTGGTTAATTGGAAATAGTCTCATAGCCTTTCCTGGCCATACTGGCTTTGAATCTCAGTCCTCAGATCTCAGCCTTCTGTGTCACTAGGATTACAGGAACGAGCCACTGGTGCCCAGCTAGCACTCTACCACTTGAGCCACAGCGCTACTTCTGGTTTTCTGGTGGTTAACTGGAGAGTCTCATGGATTTTTCTGCCCGGGCTGGCTTTGAACCGTGATCCTCAGATCTCAGCCTCCTGAGTAGCTAGGATTACAAGTGTTAACCACCAGCACCCAGCCTAATATATTTTTTTCTTTGTACCTTCCTAATTATGTTGAGACTAATATCTGAATAAATGTGCAATGTCTAAGAACATTCAGATTACATGGAAGGTGGGGAGACAAAATGTTTGCCATAAATCATATATATCTCTCTATCTTTTTGTATTTATTGAACCATCCAAGATGTAAAATAGGAAAAATGACCATCTGCTTCAGGTTGAAAAGATTTTTTTTTCCCCCTTCATGGCTGTAATTCTAGCTACTCAGGTGGCTGAAATCTGAGGACTGCAGTTTGAAGTCAGTCCCTGGGCAGAAAAATCTAAGATTTTTTTTTTTGGTACCAGTCATGGGGCTTGAACTCAGAACGTAGGCACTGTCCCTGAGCTTCTTTTGCTCAAGGTTAGCAATCTACCACTTGAGCCACAGTGCCATTTTGGCTTCTTCTGTTTATGTCGTACTGAGGAATCAAACCCAGGGCTTTATGCATGCTAGGCAAGCACTCTACCACTAAGCCACCGTCCCATCACCCCAAGAAATTATCTCCAATTAACCAGCTATTAGTTGGTGATACAGCACCACCAGCATTGCAGGGATAAAGCCAATGGAGAGATGGATGCCTTGCAGTCCCCGTAACAGTACTGTGTGTGGGTGCGGGTAAGGGCACCCCCACACATTTTTTTCCTTAAACATTTCTATTAGACCTACTCTGTACCAGGCTCATTCTATTTTACAAAGGTTAGCATGTATAATCCTCCCAAGAGTCCTATGAGATAGTGTCTATTACTTTTATTTTGCAGATGTATGAACTAAGGACTAAACAGATTTTTTTTTTGTTGGTTGTGTGTCTTGAACTCTGGGCCTGGGTGCTGTCCCTGAGCTCTTCAGCTCAAGGTGAGTGCCCTACCACTTAAGCCATAGTGCCACTTCTGGTTTTCTGGTGGTTAATTGGAGGTAAGTCTCATAGATGCTCCTGCCCAGGCTGGCTTTGAACTGTGATCCTCATATCTCAGCCTCCTGAGTAACTAAGATTACAGACGTGAGCCACCAGTGCCAGGCTTAACTTTTTGTTTTGTTCCAGTATTGAGGCTTGCACTAGGATCTTGATCCCCAGAATTCAGCCTCCTGGCAGCAAAGGTTACATACAGGAGCCACAAAAGCCTGGCCAGACTGACAACTTGCTAAAGCCAGAACTGGCAGGGCCAAGACTCAAATGCACACGGGCTGGTCTAAATGCAAACTCCGAGTCATTTATATCACCCACGGCCAAAATTATCAATAAAGGAAGCATACGTATCTTGTCCTGGATCACAGGATTTCGTGGCCCTTATACTTTCTGCACTCTTGGAAGAGTCCCAGATCTGTAGAGGCCTGCAGGATTGGTGAACTGTATCAACAAGTTATTTCTGTTGCACCGACCGTTTTAACTCTTCCAAGCAGCTTTTCCCAGCCAGCGAATGTCACTTAGGGCATATAAAATTGGCGGGTGCCTCACCTTCCCAACAGCGCGGGCTTTCTATTCTGAGCCTCTCCGCACCAGCCGCACCCCCCCCCCCCCCCCCCCCCCCCCGCCCCGGGACTTATGATCCAGAGAACAAAAGCTGGCTGCCCAGATGATTTTCCTCTGACACCTAGACTTTGACAAGCGCCTGGAGGAATGGGCCAACTCCAAGCTAAACAGAGATGTCTCAGGCCTCCATTCCTAGGAGACCTATGAATCCTCGGTGGGGGGGGGGGGGGGGGCGGGAGAGATGGCGCGTGAGCGGCCAAGCATCACCTCATTTCAAAAAATAAAGTAACCCGGGGGCCATAGGCTCAGGCCAGTAATCCTAGCTACTCCAGAAGGCTGAGATCTCAGGATCTCAGTCCCCAAGCAATCCTGGCAGGAAAAGTCCGTGAGACTCTTCAAGCATCCATCAAAAAGCCGGAACTGGAGCTGTAGGGCACGTGGTGGAGCGCCTAGGCCTGGAGTTCAAGCCCCAGTGCTGCGTGTGAGCTCACACACACGCAGAGATGGCCTGGAGGCATGGCTTGGGTGGTAGAGCACCCAAGTCCTAAAGCCAAACTCCAGTAATGCAAAATAAATAAATAACACTTAAAAGCTCTGGAAGTGACCGTGGCGAGTCACCAGGGAACTCCCTAGTCGCGGTTTCCCCCGGCAAAACTTCGAGAGGAAGCGAAAAGCCTCCCGGCCTGCCCCGGGGCGAAGGGCGCGCCCACCGACGGCTGGGCCTCCGGATCCCGGCCGCAGCTGCGGCCTGCATCACCCCGCCGCGCCAAGCTGGGGGCTCCTCAGGACTAGGTAAAGGGGACCTCTGTCCTGAGGGGCCCCGCAGGGCTTTAGGAGCCCCAAATATGTGTGTGCGCGCTCGCTGACTTTCAGTTCCGGTACAACACAAGCCCGCAGCAGACCCTGAGTCACTAACCGCCCCTGGAGACCGGAAGCCGACGCTCCCGCGTAAGTCTCGCACAGAGGAAGGCTTCCGGTGGACCACCAGGGACTACAATTCCCGGCGTGCTCCGCAACCGCTAGCGTTAACTCTTCAGTGCTGGGAGCTGCGCTGCATCCCGCCCCGCCCCCGCCCCACACTCGGACCCTGCAGGGTGAGTTTGGGGATTTTATTAGTTAGAGCTCTTTATTGTTCCTGATTAGGGGAAGGAGGGGGAGGTTGAGTACTAATAGATGACCTGTTCTAGATCTTGCATCCTTTTGAATTACGGAATCTAAGCTCTTTGTGTCCCAGAGCCTGTCTTTCCGCCCCCTCCCCCAGGTTCCACCAGGTGTTGGGGCGTGGGGAGGGGGGGACTCCTAGCAGGTTCTGCAGATACCTTCCGTATATCTAAATAGAATGGCCGTGTGCTTGTGGAAAAGATTCCTTCCTTGGAAGTGTGGGCGGTGGGTGTTAAACCTGATCACCCCTTAATCAGTACTGAATCCACAGGAGACAAAGGGGAGTACTCCCCTTTCTGTTACTGTGTACAGTTCCAGTTCTGGGCTGGCTGGGGACCCAAGAACTACAAATATCGGGCATCACACAGCTATGGGGGCCAGCTACCCCTATTCCTGAAGGGAATAAAGAGGCTTGGTTTGGTTTTCCCCCACCTCTTACTATTTCTAGCTCAAGCCTCCTGGATTCTTCTCCCATTCCTACCTCTGCCTGGGCTTTTTAGAATCTAAGCTATTGGGTCCCCTCTCTTTCACCTCACTACTATCTTAATGTTACAGGCAAGCATCCTGTCATAACCCTGGAGGTTAACTCCCCCATTCTTGGCAGTCTCTAGCTTCTTCCCTCTGTCCCTAAAAGGAACATTGTTCCTGGATAGCTTTCGGGGAGTAGATAGAGTTCAGAAAACCTTGGGTCAGAAGTCCTGAACCTTTGGAGGCAGGCAGACGGGCATCTCTCTCTGATATCTCACCCTTGCCAACTGGCGCCCTGCCCCTGCCCCCGCCCCTTGACATCCCAGACTCCCTGGCTATTTAAACAGAGATGGGTGCCCCCATCGGCGGCACACTGTCCTTTGGCCACCGAACATCATGCCTCCTAAGAAAGATGTTCCAGTGAAGAAACCAGCAGGGCCTTCCATCATCTCCAAGCCTGCTGCCAAGCCTGTAGCAGGAACCCCTCCAGCCAAGACCAAGGCTGAGCCTGCTGTCTCCCAGGCGCCAGTGAAAACTCAGGAGCCCCCTGTTGATCTCTCCAAAGTGGTGGTGAGTCCTGGGAAAGAGGAGAGAATTTGGAGAAGGGGATTAAGGAAGGAATATGTGAAATGGAGGGGATAAACAAGCTGGTTTCAGATTGGAGGTCTCTTGCAGTCTCACCACTAGGCAGCATCCTGGTTTCGGACTCTGCTATTGTCTTTTATTGCTATCTCCTTCCAATACAGGTGTGTACTACGTACACACCCACACTTGCTTACCCCCTGGCTAGAAGCAGGGATTGTGAGATGGGAAACACCTAGGTTCTGAGGTGGAGAGAAGTGCTGCCTGCCCCTAAGTGGCTGTTCTGCTCTAAAGACAGCAGCTCTGATCTCCAAGAGGAGAGGCTGAAGAGGACAGACTTGTTAGACAATCACAGCTGGGGACCAGGGGTAAATTTAGCCTTTGTTCAGCCCCCAGTTATGTGAGGGATGCAGGGCTCAGGGTAGTGGAGGGAGGGGAACAGGTGGCCTGGGATTAGCCCTGTTCCCAGGAAGCCCTCCCCCTTATAATTCCTCCTCTTGGGATTCTCCCAAGGTCCAGAGCTGGGAATGGGACTGAGGTGACTGGGCCCCTCCCCAGGAGCGGCTGCCAGTTGGTTGGGAGGAGGGTTTGGGAGGGATTGAACAAGCCCTGTCCTCACCTGCTTTTTTTCTTCCACAGATCGAGTTTAACAAGGACCAACTGGAGGGTGAGGAGAAGCTATTTTCCTAATCCCATTATCCAGGCCCAAGCTTCTGATCAGGGCCCCTTTCTACTCCCCTACCTCCAGTCCTGACCTTGAAACCTTCCACACTTGTCCGCTTTTCCTCCTTTGTTCTGTTCAGCTCTACCACAGAAATATTTGTGTTCGTGCATGTGTGCCAGTACTGGGACACTTGAATTCAAGGCCTTGTGCTCACTAGACTTTTTTTGTTCAAGGCTGACATGATCCCACTTGAGCCATACCTCCACTTCCAGCTTTTTGCTGGTGTACTGGAGATAATAGTCTCATGTACTTTTCTGCACAAGGTTGGCTTTGAACCCCAATCTTCAGACCTCAGCCTCCTGAGGTAGATAAGAATTACCGGCCAGCACTTTCTTAACCTCCTGTCTGAAGGTGGGAACCTCTGGTCAATACTGATCTCCCCTTAAATCTCCTCAGAGTTCAAGGAGGCCTTCGAACTGTTTGATCGAGTAGGTGATGGCAAGATCCTATATAGCCAATGTGGGGATGTGATGAGAGCCCTGGGCCAGAACCCCACCAACGCCGAGGTGCTCAAGGTCCTGGGGAACCCCAAGAGTGATGGTGAGAGGCGCCTTAGAACATGTGGGTTTTCAGTGATCATTTTCTTATTATTGGGGATCAAACCCAGGTACTTTGCACATGCAAGGTAAGCATTGCACCATTCGCCTTCATCTCCAGTCTTCGATTTTCAGTGGTAGAATATTGGTAAGGTGTCAAAGGATGCTGATCTTCAAAAACTGTGAAACACAGGGTAAATACAAGGTGTTCTGAATACTGAAGGGGATAGAAGTCTGTGGAAGGAATGGGAAATGGGTCTTCACTTTTGTGATACCTCAGTGACCTCTTCTCTCCATTCTCCAGAGCTGAAGTCTCGGCGTGTGGACTTCGAGACTTTCCTGCCTATGCTCCAGGCAGTAGCCAAAAACCGGGACCAAGGGACGTATGAAGACTACTTGGAGGGGCTTCGGGTGTTTGACAAGGAAGGGAATGGCAAAGTGATGGGTGCAGAGCTCAGACATGTCCTCACCACCCTGGGTGAGACAGCAACCAGAATTCCTGTGGGGTGAAGAGGAGGGGGTGGACCAGGAAGGTTGGCAAGTTAAGCAGAGTCTGGGAGGGGATTATTGTCCTGTAGGTCATGGGCAAAAACCTGAAGGTCAAAGCCATGGGGACAGATCTGAGGGCCTTGCTTCCTCAGTAGTTAAAGTGTCCACAATACGACAAAGGATATGGAATGCAGTAGGGGACCCATTACCACTTTGGAAGCCTTACTTGTAGAGTTTCTTTTTTCTTTTTTTTTGTGTGTGTGTGTGTAGAGTTTCTTTTTTCTTTTTAGGGTGGGTATGTGTGTGTGTGCGCGCGTTAATACTGGGGCTTCAACTCCACTGAGTACTGCCCCTGAGCTTTTGTGCTCAAGGTTAATGCTCTACCACATGAGCCACAGCTTCTTCACTTCTGGCCTTTTGGTGGTTAATTGAAGAGGCTCACATACTTCCCTGCCCAGGCTGGCTTTGAACAGTGATCCTCAGATCTCAGCCTCCTGACTAGCTAGGATTGCAGGCATGAACCTCCTGTGTTGAGCCCATAATTAGGTTAGCTTTTTTTTTTTTTAAACTTTAACGGTTGTGGGCTTGAACTCATTGGCCTGGATGCTGTCCTTCAGCTTTTTTGCTCAAAGCTAGTGCTCTATCACTTCAAGGCACAGTGCCATTTCCCGTTTTTGAGTGGTTAATTGGAGGTAAGAGTCTCACTGGGACTCTTCTGCCCAGGCTGGCTTTGAACCTTGATCCTCAGATCTCAGCCTCCTGAATAGCTAGGATTACAGGCGTGAGCCACCTGTGCCTGGCTGTTTATTGTTCTTGGTTTTGGGTTTTTTTTTTTTTTTTTTTTGGTCCCAATTTAAGTACTCAGATCTTAATCCTAAGGGCTGGAGTTTCCTTGTCAGTTAAAGGCTTTGAACAGTTCGAAGGTACTGTGAATGTGAATGCAAGTGATAAGAGAAGAGGCCGGGTAGGGTGGGACAGGTGAGGGAGGGAAGGGGGCTCACCAGTGCTGTTTGGGTTTCAGGGGAGAAGATGACTGAGGAGGAGGTGGAGACTGTTCTGGCTGGACATGAGGACAGCAACGGCTGCATCAACTATGAGGGTGATTTTCGGGCGCTACAAGGGGGAGGGGAGTGATGGTGCTGTGAGAATGGAAAGCACCCCTCTATTACCTAAAGTGAGGGTGGTGGTTACCCACGGGTCTGCTTCTTGAAGCCCTCTTGTCTCCTGTCTCTGCAGCCTTCCTGAAGCACATCCTAAGCGTCTGAACTCTCCGGGTAGGCCCTCCGGTACCCCTTGTCGCGCTGAGAGGCAAGTTTACCTGTCCACTTGCTGCGTAAGCGCCAGGGGTTTGGCAACTTTTGTTTTTTTTCCATACAGATCCAGTAGTGGGGGTACCCTCCCCCCGCGCCCCCCCACCTTTGCTCCACCTCTCCGGCCGGCGGAAGCACCTTCCAGTCACTAGGCGGCCACCTATTGTTTCCAAATAAAGATAACAGTTCCTGCCTCGGTCTCAGACTGTTTTCTTCGGGGAGGGGGAAGGAGGGAGGGGAGGGCCCTCTGTTTTCGCAAAGCCGGTATTACCTGCATTTTATGCTGTTTAGAGGAGCCGATTCTTGGCACCTCATTCCAGCCTCCGGAGGACGGACTTTCGGCGGCCTGGATAGGGCCGGGCGGGGCCGGGGCCGGGGCCGGGGCCGGGGCGTGGAGCACCACGGCGGGTCCCGCCCACCTCATTTTCATGTAGCGTGTGATCTGCATAAATCCAGGCCGGGGTTCCTATTGGCCGAATGTACAGAGAGTGACGTCATTCGGGCAAGCTGAGACTAGGGTTGGGCTGGGAGCCGGAGCCATTACTGCAGGAAAGGTCCCGGAGAGCCGAGCAGCCAAGATGGTGGGGCCCAGGATCCAGGAGATAAGCGGGGTTTGGGGCCAGGAGGGGACCCACGGGCAGGGAGGGCTAGAAGGCAAGCCAGGGTAGGGCGCAGAGGGAAGCTGAGAGTTTGGAAGGTTGGAGGGTGGGCCGGAAAGGCGAGGGCCTTGTCCTCCCCCACTGAAGCTGGAGTTTGGTTCAGTTGGAGGGACTGGGATAGAAGGTTGAGGGATTGGAGTTTAAGTGCTGACCACTCCTTCTTTTCTGAGCAGTGTGACTTCACCGAAGACCAGACCGCAGGTAGGCAGTCTGACCCCAACTGAGGTCACTCTTACCGAGAGGGACACCCCCCTCTAGCACCTACTCTGTAGCCCCAACTTGTCATTTGTTCAGCATCCCCAGGAGAGTCGCCCTTAGATTCCTTTCTCCCACTTTCTGGATCCTCCATTTTCTTCTCTCATGCGTTCTTCCTTCCCCTTCCACTCTAGATCTGAGCCCCAAGCACTGGGTGAGTTTTAGGTGGTGTGGGTATGTGGAACTACTTGGTCACCACCTAAATGCTTGCTGTGTGTGGGGTCTGGGGAGGGTGCATCTGTCTCTGTCTCCTTAACCAGCTTTTGCTTCTTCACTTCTCTTGAGATAACTTATCCCTTCTCCCAGCCTGGAACTGAGATTGTAAGGGCAGTGACCTGAAGTATTGGGAAGAAAGGATGATGGGGATAGGCGAGTTAGGTCTCTTCATTGGGGAAGAGTAGGAAGTAGTGTTGAGATGACCCTAGTCGAGCCTGAGGCACCCATTTCCTTATAAGGACTGGACCTAGACTGGGCGGTGGCAAATTCCTATCCTGAGTAGTTAATGTAGTGGGCCTGCTGCCGGCTCCTGTTGTGTGTGAATGGACTGTACTGTGCTGTCAGGCGGGGAGGAAGGCTGAATCTTGTATGTGGAACATTGCAGTTGAGAGAAAGAGAAACAGATGCCTTCTTAGCATTCTTAGGTGTATAGCAGCGTAGATATCTGGTTTCCATAGCATGGTCTAAGTTGACAGGGAGCAGCAGAGCACTGAGGGAGGGACTGAATTAACCCCCACATTCCCCTTACTGATGATCACCTGAATCCTCAGAATTCAAGGAGGCTTTCCAGCTGTTTGACCGAACAGGTGATGGCAAGATCCTATACAGCCAGTGTGGGGATGTGATGAGAGCCTTGGGCCAGAACCCCACCAACGCCGAGGTGCTCAAGGTCCTGGGGAACCCCAAGAGTGATGGTGAGCATCCTCAAAACAACCTAGTGTGGCAGTAAGTCCAAATCTCTTCAGCTAAGTTTATCTTATTCAGCTCCAAACTGGAACAATGTTACTCTTCGGTAGAAATCATCAGCTTGTGATCCTATGATCCCACCCTGGGAATTTGAGTTCTTTGGCCTAACACTCTCCCACTTTATGTATATATACTAGCACACTGGTACTTGGGCTTGAACTAAGGGCCTCATGTTTCCACTGGCTTTTTTGCTCGAGATTGGTGCTCTACCACTTGGACTTCCATCCTTTTAACCGGTTAATTAGAGATGAGTCTGGTGGAATTTTCTGCCCACGCCTACTTCGAACCTCAATCTTCAGATCTCAACCTCCTGAGTAGCTAGGATTACAGGTGTAGTCACCAACAATTGGCTTACTTTCCCTCTTGTTATGTGGCAGAGATGAATGTAAAGGTGCTGGACTTTGAACACTTCCTGCCCATGCTGCAGACTGTGGCCAAGAACAAGGACCAGGGAACCTATGAGGATTATGTAGAAGGCCTTCGGGTGTTTGACAAGGAGGGGAATGGTACTGTCATGGGTGCTGAAATCCGTCATGTACTTGTCACATTGGGTAAGACTCTATACCGTTGTCCCAGAGCTGAGGTGCTGCCTGGATACACCCCACCTGTTACCCAGTTCCAAAAATGATTTTTGGTTGTGAGGCTTGAACTCAAGGCCTTGGGTACTGTCCCTGACCTTTTTTGCTCAAGGCTAACACTCTACCACTTCAAGCCACAGCTTACTTCCAGTTTTCTGGTGGTTAGTTGGAGAGATGAGTCTCACAAGACTTTCCTGCTTGGGCTGGCTTTGAACCCATATCCTTAGATCTCAGGCTCCTGAGCCACTAGGATTACAGGCGTGATCCATTGGTACCCTCCTCTGCAGGTGAAAAGATGACTGAGGAAGAAGTGGAGATGCTGGTAGCAGGGCATGAGGACAGCAATGGCTGTATTAACTATGAAGGTGAGGGGCAAACTGGGATTCTTGCAGAGGAAATGGCTATATAGCAGGATTGTATCTGAGAGTTTGCTTATCCCTGGAGTTGGATCCAAAAGGAGGCAAGGGGCGGGCCCAGCCCAGGAGAGGGAGGTTGTGGGTTTGGGTATGTAGGGTGGGGAAGGAATGAGGAGTAAATGGGATGTCTGTTCCCCCACCACCTGAACCCTTCACCCCATGTCTGTGTCTTGTCTTCACCATTAATGTCTCTTCCTTCCTGCAGCGTTTGTGAGGCATATCCTGTCAGGGTGACGGCCCGTGGGGCGGGTACGGCTCCTCCCAGCCTCTCCTTCTCTAGTTGATCTCCCAGTGTTTCTTTTTCTTCCCAACCTGTGCTCTCTAGTCCCAGCCCTTACCCTACTACCATCTGACTTCTTCCTGGCATGTTTCTGCATGGGGCTGGCCAGGGAGGGGAGGGATTCCTTAAAGAGGAAGGCAGCTTGGGAGTGCAGTACCTCCTGACTTCTCTCCTTGAACCGACTCTTGAGATCTTGCTTATTGGGCCTTGAGTGCTGGTGTCTGGGAGCTCACCAGCTTACACCGCAGTCTTGCTTTAGGGGGATCCTTTGGCCCTGAAGCATGGAGAGTTGGCATAGAGAGGTGGGCTGCCTGCCCCATTCTGCTGCTATAGCTCAACAGTCCTTCCCACCTCCCTCTGCTGGGCAGCTTGGAGGTACTCTAACCCAAAACTGTCCTCTCCTCTTGCCAGTGGCTGACAGTAGCTGTAGGTGTAGTTGAGAACTTTTCTGCCTCTGTTCTACTCTTGCTGCTCAGGGTGGGCAGGGAGCTGAAAGCCGGTGGGAGGGGAGTCAGGCTGAGAAAACTGGTCAGACTCAAGGTGGCTTCTCTGCCAACCAACCCTTCGGTTGATTGTTGTGGGCATGTTCCCTCAAGCCACCTTTACAGTCTTGCAGTCAGTTTTTGGCCCCTGGCGTACCCCTCCTTTTCCCTTTCTCTCTGCCTTACTCCACTTTTCCTCTCTACAGAGCTTGTCCGGATGGTGCTGAATGGCTAAAAACCTTCCCAGTATCCCTGAGCCTGTGCCTTGCCCGGTGTGAGATTTTTGTGTGGCCCTAGAAGCTTCCTAGGCTCCCTTGTCACAGGATATTTTTCCCAACTTCTCTCTCGGATGATGTCTGCCATCAGCACTCACCAAATAAATTAGCTCTCTTTGCTCCATTATGGTTCTACTTTCCTTCCTGGGCAGTGGCAGGGCAGGGGAGGGGGGAGTGAGATGGGAGGTGATTTTTGCCCGTAGATACCATAGCCCCAGGTCAATGCCTCATTTAAGAAATGCTGGTCCCATTCATCCTTGCTACAAAGGCTACTTTGTGGGATCAGGAAAGCCATAAACCAAGGCTGGCCAGCATTCTTTTGTTCTAGTCTGTACAGTCCTCATTGCCTAGGCCTAGGGCTCCTTAGAACTCAGGATATGGCCCAGCACCTCCCTCCCCAAATATGGAAGGCCTTTTGTGGAGAGGCCTGAGTGTTTACTGGAGCTAAAGCCAGGCCAAATTAGCATTGCCAGTGCCCTGTCACAACTGTAGGACTGGGGGCCAATAAAAACAAGTAGGTGAAGACCTGCTGCTTCCCTTATTAGGGAAGGAATGAAGCTACTACTACTGAAAGGATAAAGACACAAAATCTCCACGGAAGATGTCTTTCCATCTCCTAAGCAGCTATTTTTAGGGTAGGTGAGAGCCCCTGCTCCAGCAGCAGTGCCTTTGGCCTTCTGTGGTATATATGAGTAAGGCCAGTGTCTGCAGCCCTATAGTCCCACTGAGTACCCCATGATATTCCAATAATGCAGCCCGATCCCCTGCCTGACAACCACAGGTAAGAACACAGAGGCATCCACAAGATGGAACTGAAAGCAAATTAATTTATAAAAAAAAAAAAAAAAAAGAAAGAAAGAAAGAAAAAAAAGGAAAAAAAAAAAGGAAGAAAAGAGAATTTACAGAAAACTTTTGAACAGAAGAAAGGTGCCAAGACTCAGAAAAAGAGAAACACACACAGGGGACATGAGGAACAAAGGGCCTGGTAGGAGGATCAAGAACTGGTGTAGAGCTAGTATGGCCTTTGCCTCCGTGTCAGGGTGAAGAGGGAAGAATTGGAAGGGGGAGGCACTAGAATCCAGGAGGCAGAGCCAAACTGTACTGCTCCCAAACCTGTGTCCTTGGTGGGGGAACTCCCAGCTCTCAGTGACATTCTGCCAGTCTTGGTGGGGGAGGGCAGAGGTTAGGGGAATGACCCACCAAGTCATTATGGAGGTGCTTAAGTGCTCTTTGATTTTTTTTTTTCAATTTTAAAACTTAACAGCTCCCTTTTCCATGCCTTTT